TTCATCTCCAGCAAGCAAGACTGCACTGGCACGACACCATCTTTATGGAGCAGTCAGGGTCTCCAGAAGAGGATGGGCAAGAACTTCCTCCTGATTCTACAGGGAGGGGTAGTGTAAGGAGGCTTCTCTGCAGACAGAGGCTGTGTCTGTCTGAGCCGCTTTTTAATCAGCACTAAGGGAGGAGTGAACCCCACCTACATTCTAGTGACTAAGAGCTGCAACAGCAGCAGTAACCTGTTTAACCAGAGAAGAACTACAGGGCTGGGCTTTTCAACTTTGCTCTGCCTCCTTCCACTGATTGCTAAACAAACCAAGGCTCCAGTTACACTCCCTAGGCTTGGCACTTAACCCTTTCCTACCTGGCACTGCCCAATGTAAAAACACCTTCCACATTCACTGAGTCCCTTTCCAATATGAGATGCGGAAGGTAATTCTAGGCTGTTCCAGGAAGTAAGGGAAACTTCAGAAATATCATGTAATAACAGAGATATAAAATCTATAAAACATGCTACAAACATCTGTCATGGAACAGATCACAATTGCTGATGCAAAAAAAAAGATTCAGTATTAGCCCTTTGTTGGTTAATGAACGATCCACAAAGCAAAACTGTTTTTCTGTTAATGGTTTCATTTTGCACAAACATTTCCCAAGTAGTTTGCACTTTTAGTTTTTCAATGTGTAGGTTGTTAATGAACTCTTCACTTCATCTGTCCATTGATGACCCAATTCTTAATTTCTCACATATCAGACCCTTCTTTTTACAACTCTTTGTGGATATCTTGCTGGCTTTTTTAACTAAACATTGCTAAAAATGAAAATCTGCCTCCTACTTCCACAGACCTTCTCATTACTATCATCTCATTACTATAATCACTGTTGCTCAGCTCCTTAATCTTAATTACTAAAAACGGATTTAATTGTGTTAACTTGTTCATGTATTGAACATGTAACCATAAGTTTAAATTTACTGACTTCTCTGGTTTTAGAATGGCTATTTCAAATCAGGAAAAAAAAAACCCTGTCTTTAGCATGGCAGCATTAATTTATTAACAAAGATATCTGCTAATTTTAATGATATGTTATGTGGCATTACAGTCAGAATTGTGCTGGGTGTTTATTAATGGATGTTAACTAAACAATTTGTTTAAATATATGGTCAAATATATTCAGCCAGCATCTGGCCTCTGAAGTTTTAGAAATGCTGTCAGTGGTGGGAAGACGTTAGGCTGAAAAAAGATTGCAAATTGGACTAATTACGTGCTTCTGGGGAAAGTGACAGGGTATGAACTCCTTGTTAGATTGTGCCAAGTGAATCTTAACTGGATCTAGAGTATTTTTGTAAGGACACCTCAAAAGAGAGGTGACAGAAACCCCTGCTTAAATAAAAATGATTTGCAAATGCAAGGCTTATGAACCTGGAACAACACCAAAAAAGACAAATTAGGACCTAAGAGGAGTGGCAAACTGGTAAGGACTCCAGGTGTGTTTACATCAAACAGTTCACACAGTATTACCAACTTTGGCTCCTGTTAATCCTTTTTAAAAGGAAAACCCTAGCAAAATCTGAGTGGGAGAAGAGGGGTGGGACATATACCTATCCATACCAGTTTGAATGAACCCTCACACAGGCTGCATACAGAACTTCAGGCAGCCTTTTGGAAAGGTGCTCTAACTATGGTGCTTTGTAGGTTGGCTAGGTGGTGGGGAGGAAATGGACCTCCCCGCTTTGCAGGGCGTGCCCAGCCTGGCTACCCTGGTTGGGATCTTGGGGGACCCAGGTCAGGTCTGTGTGGCAAGAGGGTGCTCCCTTCCCTCCCCTGCCACCTCATTTCCCCCCCTTCTCCCACCCCGCACAAGCATCTTAACAGCAGCCTTGTGGCTGCCACACCCAGAGCTGGGGCAATAGGGTCTACAAACAAGGGTCAAATTTTTGCCCTATTGGCCATTTTAAAAGTGCTCTGTAGCCATAAATGTTTGTTGTGTTATGGCTACAGGGTGCTTTTGGGGGCCTCATCACGTGAAAAATGTAACTTCTGTACGCACCCATAAAGTATGCTATTTGTGATTTAAAATAACTTTAATCATTATTTACATATTTGACATTTAGCAAGTGACATTTCCGAGTGTGTAAATGAAAAGATGTGGCTATGAACTACTGTTACCTAGAAGATACTTTTGAAGTTGATACTTTTAGTTAGGAAGAAAGGGAACCTATAGATGTGCCCAATGTCTGCTCTGAGGCATGCTAATGACTTGATTAATTGAGTCCACTGGAGCATTTTAATTGACACGATCCAGCAGCTTCTGTGTCACATCTATTCAGCATCCCCTCACTTCAAAATGGAAGTGGGGGCACTTGAACTGAAACTCATCGAACAAGCTTTAGTTCAAGTGCCCCGCCACCATTTTGAAGTGCAGGACACTGAATACACACGATGCTGCAGGCACTGTAATTAGAGTGGCTCTCAGAGCCGTTCTAAATTAAAGCCCTCCCCTCCACTCTGGAGCCCGTGTATAGGCACTGTGAATTTCTACATTTGGAATTACGTGTGGTTGAATGAGTGATAATCTTACCATTTAATTCGCATAGAGGGCGTGTCCACACATACAAGCACATGTGCTTGCAGCAGCTCAAGCACAAGCGGTGCAAATTTGACCCAGGGCTTTTTGCTTCAGTGCACATGCTCAGGCATGCACTTTGGTGTGGAGCAAATTGTGCCACTCGAGGCAAAATAACCCCGCCTGGCTCCTCCTGGATCTGCAGCCAGGGGGAGCTAGATCCCGGGGCCAGCACCTGTGCTGTCCCCAGCAGTATAAAAAGCTGCTCTGTCCTGGCTCCAGCAGTATAAAAATCTGCCCTGGCAAGTAGCTCAGGAGCTTCTGGGGCCCAGCCAACTGGTACCTGGGGACACTACCCCTTGTGCCAGCTGGACTGCTGAAGTCAGCCCTGATTGTTCCCTGCACCCTCTACCTACTGCAGCAGTCTGGCAGTTGGGGCTGATGCCTGGCTGTGACCTGCTGTGCACCTGCCAGACTTGGATAGGGACTGTAGAACCAGTAGAGATATCTGCCCCTCTGGGCCAGATGCCAGTTGACTGTGGTTGCAGGGTTGGCCTCTGTACGGCACTACTGTCATGTGTGCCCCCTGCCCAGGCATCTGGGCAGATATCACCTGGAAGATGTTCTGGGTGTGGTGGCCTGCTTCGACCTGTCAAAGCATGTCCTCCTGGCCGCATTTGGCCAGGAGGTCAGCCACAACCAGATGGGTCCAAGGTGCCAGCTCTGAGCAGGTAGGGTCCTGGCACTGGCCCCCCAGCAGGAATTCTGGTGTTCCCTATTGGAAACCTGAAAAATCCCTGGTAAAAAAAATCCCAAAGTCACTCTGTAAAATATCCCCAAATCCATGTTCCTCCACAAGTAAAACAAAAGACCACTATAAAGCGAGAGAGAGAGAGAGCAAGACAGAGACAGCGATCAGTTGGACAATGTTTTATTGATATATCTACAGTGTTAAAGCAAGTCTCTTATCATAATAGTAAAGTGAACTCTAAATACATGTTTCATGAATACACGTTTTCCTGCACTCCCACAAGGAGATGGCCCCCAAACAAGGGGTTTGGCTCCCCAACAGGGGTTTCAACCCCCAAACAAGTGGTACAGCCCCCAAACAAGGGTTTGGCCCCCCAACAGGGGGTTCAAACCCAAACAAGGGGTTCATCCCCCTAACGGGGTTTCAGTCACCACACAAGGGGTACACCTCCCAATGGGGGTCAAATGTCCTCCGCAGGGGCTACCACTCCCCCTGCAAGGCCCACATGCCCCCCGCAACTGCTGCACCATCCTGCACCAGTTGCTGCGTCCCCCGCAATGGCTGCCCCACCCAGCCCCACTCCCCCAGAGCCCCCCAATGGCTTC